CGACCCTGCTTCCGTTTCGTCCTTCATGCATGCGCTGCGAATAACAATAGGGCCATAGTGTAAACGTACAGTATTTATTCGTATTCCTCTCGAGCAAACGGGTGAGCTGTCCTGACAGCGATTATTCTTAATGTCCCGTAATTATTCGTTTGTTGACGCACAATGTGGCTTAATGTAACATCATCACGTAGCAAACATACGTTGCGATATAGTGAAAGTGGCATACATTCCTCTCTATATACGGATACGGAATGCTCCTAAATTGTCTCGCGTCTTTTCTTACCCTGTGTCTGCAACTTACAAGGAAAGTTTGGTAATCCGAAAATTTCTAAAAATCTACAATTTTGTAGACACGAAAAATATGTTACGCGATTTTATAGTCATATAGCAATTTTTGAGTATAAGAATTAAAATTACTCAATATATTTTCGAACATTAAGAATTAATCTCGCGTTTGAAAGATTATTACAATTCCGATTCAATACAAGGATTTTATATTATAGAAGGATTTTATATTGGTTATTATCGAAGAATAGCACCTTTTCTGTGTTAAAAGAATACTGGAAACATTTTTTGTTATATGTATTATTGTAGGCTGGAAACGCATGGAATTTGTATTTAACATTTTAAAACTATTTTTTGTAGAATTTCTGAGATATTAAAGAGAAATATATGTGGAGAATACCAGATTTTCTTTAAGAGATGTTTTTATTTTTTTATCAGTTAAATTATTATTGGATTCATATATGCATATTTTATTTCTGTAAAGTTTTAGATTTTTTAAGAATTTTTTAATGAAAGAGTTTGCTGAATTTTTCTCTTTTATTAGATTTCACAATCTCGCTTTTATTCATAGAATTAAATTAAATTTCGAATTTTTTAATTTAGCAGAATTATAATACAATTTGATTGCCATATTTATTGTTAAGGATTTGGCAGAGAGATTTCTGTTTTAATTGAGATTAAGGCTTTGAAAAAGATTAATAATGAAATAAAGAAGGAAAATATAAAGAAATTATGAAAAACAGTGATGTTTGTTTGGATAGTTAAACGTTGCTTTATTACGGTCTGCCAATCGCGATCGTGATATGACTTGTACAATGTATATATAATTTTTATGCAGAAAAGATTTGTAAGTTAGGAGAGGGTAAGGAGGGAAACGTCCGTTCGCTTGGTTTTAAAAAGTATACTTGGCAAGAGCTGGAGAGATGCAATCGTACGTATGTAATGATTTTAATGATAGCTCATTGAATGTCTATGGCAGGAAACGCAAGTGAAAAAGGAGGGCTTAGTCCTTCAAACATTTCTTATTTACGTTGAATAAAACACGAGAATCAATTTACATCGATTTTGCAAAAATAATAAAACACTCAATGTATTAATGTATCATTGTTTCTATAAGATTTGCTTTCAAATCATTTATGCAACTTATATTATTGATTATTATGCATTATAATTAAAAATTTTTTATTATTTGATGCCGAAATAAGAATTTAATGCTCTTGCGTCGATTAAAAATTGTGCAGTGATTTCTTTATCAGAAAGGAAAAAGTGAAGAAAAGATTGATAATAAAACTAGCAGCTTTTTTATGTTAAATAGTTTTTATACATTAAAATAAATAAATTAAATAAACGTAGAGAAATGTGAAGATGTGAGTCTAAAGGAGATGCTTTTGCAGAGAAAAGAGAATGAGAAAGAATTAAAAATAAGTACAGTATCACGTTGGCATGTTGAAGAACGCCGACGGTGCTTTGATGTGATCGGTCGAAATATGCAATATGTAAGCAAGCTTGCTCGCAGACTTTAAAATTAGTCTACGTGCTTTGTCTACGCTATGCGTGCTTGTCGTCTGCGTACTTTTGTGTGCATTTATCTCACGTCTACTATAAACGTGCAGAAAACGAGTAAATCATTTCTCCATTTTGTTACGTGTACATAAAGAGGATATGTATTGTATCAGTCGACGAATAGACGTTTTAAATAGAATGTAAGAGAAACAAAATATAACACAATACGTTGGACAGACAATTAAAAAGAATTTCAAAACATCGAAATCATACAAGATGGAACGTTTGCTCGTATATATAAGATAAACGTCTGCTCCTTCTGTCATAACGGATCATAGATTAAAATCCGATCATGATTTTCAAAGGAACAATGTAAAAATTCTAGATGAAGAACCTTGGTATGGCAAAAGATTAATTTCTGAAATGATGAATATTAAGAGACAAAATAACAGCCTTAATTTTCAAACAGATACCAAAGGCCTCCACAAAGGATGTATACCGATTACGTATATAAACAATATATGACTTTGTAGTACCAAGAAACATTAATATTCTAATATTGTGCAGTCGTTATCGGTTAGTCAAATCGTGTAGTTCTTAATTTTTGACTTCATTTAGTTCTTATTATTTTTTTTGACTTTTTAAATTTGTAACAAAAATTTTTTAATATCATCAACTTATATTTCACTTCATTAACACCACGACTGATTAGTTGATTACTAATTTATTCTAATGTATATTTCATCATCATAAAAAATTTTTTAAATATGATATTGTGAGAAACATGAGTGCTGTCTGGATGAGTTATTTATTGAGAAAACGAATTTGCTTAATTATTATATTTAAATTCATTACTCCTCGTTCTATTATACTAGATTATCGATTCTGCCAATATTTGATTTACTGATTTTCTGTCGGCGAATTTCTTCTCTCGGAGAGAAACCTACTGAATGAACTCTCTCGATATATTTTTTGCCAGGAATTTCTATCAATTCATTCAGTATTTAATGTTAGAATAATTACTATTAGCGGAAAATTTAAATTAGTTGAGAACATCCTGTTTTATAGTCTGAAGGGAATCAAACACATTTTCATGGCAACTGCCTGTGGATATTGAACGCTCGTGAGAGCGCATAAGAGATCGTGAATAATGTATATCCATGTCGCGTATGTTCTTCGCATATTAAAATTTTCACCGCGTCGTCTGACGATGACGTCTCTGTCGCGAAAAGTACACGGTACCGTGCGTGAATAAGAATTCGCGCTTCCTGGGTGCGTCATCGCGGACGCAAGAACGCGCGCGGCTGAATCAGCACGGAATTAATCGGATCACCGCGATTGGTTCTTGATGCGACGGCCGATCGGGATTAATCTAACGGGAATGCTGGGTATTGCTGGCGCAACTGAATAATCTCGATACCGCGTGCGCGCGGCGACGCGCTAATTGTATTTATTAGTGAATGGATCCTTTGTGCCGCGTCGACCTCGCGAACGCATCCTTCGCAATCGAGTGCTCGCTGCCGTCATCGAAACGTGAACATAGAACGTTTCAGGATTAATGAGAACGATTGAGAGACAAATTTTTACGAGAAACAGTAACACGTGAAAGTGAAAGTTAATTTTTACATTTTTCTCAATGCTACATTAGTAATAATAATAATAACATTTTTACTTCTTTATTATTTTATCAATTTTATACAAAAATTATTTCAGACGTTCCGCAATTCTAATTTATCTTAATTTTCATTTGTTTCAAATTCTATGTTCATTATTTTATTACATTATGTTTTATATTTCATTATATTTCGATGATATGCGTGTACGTAGGGTTTAAGTATTGTATGTTTAAATGTATATATTTTATAATTTTTTGAACGTTTTTTTGTATTATGTGAAGTTATAAATAGATCTTTATTCTGATTTTGATAAATAAGTTGTCTAAATAAGTGCTGAAAAGATAGTATAGTAATTTAGTTCTCTCTTAATGTGCGCTGTAGTTAAAAAAAAACTTTAAAAAAATACGTTAGTTTCCTTATTTATCCACTAAAAAAAATTTACAGTTATATAATTTTGAAAATTTTAATTTGGAAAAGCACCAAAAATTTTATCTTTAAAATTGTATTCTTATTTTGGAATGAAAATTATTTATCGGGAATGTAGAAATGGATAGTGACGGAAGATGAGGGAAATAGTTTCCTTGGTTGTCTTCGATCAAATAGAAAAATACCTCTCTCATATTTCGCATACCTTGTATGACACGTATGGAATTGCGGAAATCTAAGCGTATCACTGTAAGCATCACGGATAAATTAGGGAGAAACGGATGGTCCCACAGGCATGGTTTCGATGATGTCATGAGTCCAGTAGGGATCAATCGGAGAGTCAAGTGATAATTGCGACAATCGCGAGTATGCTTTCCAACGAGACACTCAATTCATCCTCCTTGTAACGTTTCTCCTTCTGTCTTTTTCATTGCTTTCTTTTGTTGTTCGTTTTATGCGTTACACGTGTCCTGTAGATATTATTACAATCATAATAAGCTAAATAAGAGCTGCGTAAAATACTTAATAGGTGTATGTTTTTAAGAAAACATTAATCTAATTGTAAGACAAAACAGACATCTTATTTTTGTAATAATATAATTAAAATATACGAATTTTGTGAACAACTGTAAAATCCGTAAAAGAAATGATAAAATAAAATAAGAGTATGCGTATTTACAAGAACGTTATTAGATAATTATAACTAATTGAGAAATATTATATAATATATATATTGGAGGAAATAAATTACATGCTATATAGCTGTATTTATATATAGATAATGACAAGAGTCATCTAATTCGGATAAAACAAAAGTCAGAATCAAGAATTATATTGTTAATTAAGAACAATTTAAATTAACTGTCGATAGATGGATGATCAAGTTTAATTACAGTTTATAAAGATTTTTTATTAGCAATGGTAATATAATGCCATTAAAGTTACGGAACAGACATTTAAGATAAAATGCTGAAGAAATAGAAAAATAATGGGCTTATTAAAGAAGTATCAGATTTGATTGTTTACTCCATAAAGCTTATTCAAAAACAATTTTTTTGCAACATTAGAGAGTGTACTACATTTTAATTTAATTTATATTTAAGACCATCTCAAGTATTGTCTTAAGATGTTATAAATTCTAATTTTATATAATTACATTTTTTTGTTTAGTTTCCGATGGAGAACCAGGGTTATGAGGAGGATCAATCGCGCGCAGCAAAAGAGCAGTCCATCCTTGAGTCTCACCGGTGCGATCAACAGCTTTGCACGGACGTGATTGATGTGATCGATAATCCTGTTGTCGTGAAGACTACACCACATCTCGAAGGCAATCTGTACGAGGACATCACGATTGGTGCAGAAATTAGTACTTGCGAGTTTTCGGAGCGGACGCCTTGTCCTGACGAATCTCGAAATTTTTCCGAGACCGAAGATCGCCAGTCGAGCGATCGGACCAGACAGGCTTGGATTAACTGTAGGCCGCCATCCCTCTCGATCGACAGACTCTTCCAACAAAGCTCGATAGTATTCCCTTCAACCAGAATCAGTACGAATCACGACAGCACAGCCACTTCATCCAGGGCGAGTGAAGATGATCTTGAGAGAGTCTTTGAGAAATCTCATAATCTTCCAGCACTTTCCCTCTCCGAGGACGTTTCAGCGAATGTATCCATGTCTCTTGCGGCGAATGAAGACTCATCGCGAGATGCCTCGGTGACGCAGTCCGATCGTCGACCGAATCGCAGACGTAGGAAGAAGGACTGTAAACATTGCAGAAGCAAATTAGCCGACGTGGGCTCTTGCGAGAAATTAAACGAGTTGATCGTTAGCAAGGACAAATTTCTGAAAGAGAACGGAGACAATCACCGGGATAGGCACCCAGACGCGTCCACTCTCCTGTTCCGAGAGTCATTTTTGAGGCCGCAGAACATAAAGGTCTATCCGATCGTGAGTAGGACGAGTCTCCGGGATATCAGCGACAAGAGAAGTTCGGCGTCCGAGTATGGAGTGCGTAAGACGGAGAATGTGGCCAGGTTCCTGCTGAACACAGAGAACGATAGAATGGTGGGTCAAGTTGCTGAGAGTGCCCAGAACAAGGTACTGGGAGTATCGGGAAATGGGACTGATATGAGGATTAACTCAATATACTCGCAGGACCGTTGGTATAACAAGGAGTCACAAATATTCTATACCGACGTCAAGGATCAGAATCCTTTTCAGGTAAGTTGCTAATAAGTATAAGCATTGACGTGTCTCTTGTTTCTATTTCTTTCTTTCTTTCTTTCTCAAGTATTATTACAAAATTTATAGATCGATGTTTTTTTATGATTTCTTGAAAAGTTTCTTTAGGCAGTACTTTTTAAATTGAAGCCAACACAAAAATGTTATTTACAAAATTACCTGTAAAAAACATGACGCGTTTTGTATCGAATGAATTAAAAGAAAGAGTTAAAAATGAGGATTATAGAACATAGAAACCAATAATTGGGGACGTGGGCACTAATAATAAATCTGTTATTACCAAACTTTCAGAAATTCAAGGAACATAGTAATCTTTTAAAAATAGAGTCCTTATGCAACTGTTTGAATTTTGAATAATAAATCGGGCACGAACTTTTGCACTGATTTGATAACACATTTCACGTTAAAACACTTTTAATTTACCAACAAATTTTTTTTTAAGGACATATATAAATATTATTGAACTTTGTTCTCTTTCACACACACCGGATACAATGTCACTGATATATCTTTATTATTTATTTATCATTTGTCCTTTATTATTTATTTATTTTCGTGTATAACATTACCTTGGTTATTGGTGCGCTCGATTATTATTATAACATTTTATATTTTGACGAGGATAGATCGTTTAACAGTTATTACTCAAAATTTGATCGTTTTCACTTCATAATATTATAGTATTATGTTTTGCTCTCCTGTTGTATCGGTGAGTTGAATGTAAATAATTAGTTTCTTATTGGTGGAATTATCTGTCTCATTAACTTATTAGTAACAAAACTTAATAATTATACAGCTATTAGGAAGGAAGATTTACAATGTTATTAAAGTTGTGTAATCACCTGTTCACTTAGTGTGCATTATTCTTCTATTCTCCGTGTAATATGTAAATCTGTTGAAAGTAAGTTGGAGTAAAATCGAAATGTTCGGATCTGTGCCTTTGTGATTACATTATTATATTATTTGAAATATTAAGAACCTATGTATATTATATCACTATTTTAAATTTGTTATTTTTTAATTTTATTCATAGAATGGATATTGTATTATACATATACAATTTAAATATTTGTTTTCAAATTTTAACTATATATATTTATATATATGTAGAATTTAAAAAAAGATTATAATAAAAGATTGATATCCGAAATGGTTCATATAAAGAAACAAACACATGGCATAAATAAACAAAATGATACCGAGTCATTGCCTGATTGTTATACTAATATGATATTAGTTCTCTTTCCACCTCTTAATTTTTCCTTTTTCTGTCCTTTCCTGAGGTTTCTGCCTACTCATTTCTTATTTTGATTTCAAAGAGAACAGTCGAATTTTTACAGCTGTAATTTTAGACTATATTTATTTAATAATGGATTTAAACACACTGGAATTTTATAGAGCGTACATTTTTTATTACATCTCTGTTAAGGTAACAATTTATATTTTATACAATATACATATTCATAATTTTTAAATTTTAAATTATATACTTTTTGTTATTATAGATTTATGTAACTTTGCGAAATAACACAGAAAGGAAGATTCATATTCAATTTATACACATTTAATTTTATACTTTTGACTCTTTAATTTTTATACACAATTTTACTCGTTAATTTTTATTATATTTAAGTACAAATATTTAATTTTATTATTGTTATTCGTTCATTTAATTTTATTACACTTGAGTTTAAAATTTAACATTGAAAATGACCCGATCGGTGTCGAATTTTACGTCTGTGAATTTTACCTACTAATTTTACTTGTTTATTTGTTAAAAAAAGATGTATTTAAAATATGAATACTCATTAAGAAAGCATTTAACTTATTTATAATTATTAAGTTGCGTTTTATCTTTATTTCTGAATTTTAATTCTTGAAATTTCGATATTTTATCACAAGAAGTCAAATTAAAAAATGTCATTTCCTAATTTATAGAAATAAATTTATGAAGTCACTTCTTGAATTTTAACAAATGTAATGTTACGGCTGATATTTAAATAACGTTAATAATAAACGTATAACGATATTAAATTAAACAAAAAGCTTTTATAAAAATTAGAAGTGTTGTTATGATAGTAATAATAGAATTTTACATTTCACAAACTAGTTAAGTTTATAGGGAGACACAAGAGAGAGACTGAGACAAAATAACATCGAGACTAAAAAAGTTTATTGTTTTTCTGTATGTCAATTATTTTTTTTCTACATATGTAAATTATTTGATATGGAGATAATAGTAGAATTTTACATTTTAAATCATTTAATTGATATATTATATATTGTATTATGTACATATAACGTTCTGAGATGAAATAAGTCCATTATATTTTTCCTATGTGAATTATTTAAAAAGATGATATTAGGTATGAGAGATACAAAATGATACAATATATTTAGAGTTGCTAGAGTATTGCCAAGGGTGTTGTGTGGGGAAGAGAGTTGGGGAGAGCCACCGTGTTCGACTAGTTTCGATTTAACGACTGCCTGTTAGACGACACGTTTAGTTGAGCACATTGTCGCTATGCGGCGCGTTTCTGCGCAGGTTTCTCGTATTTAAAATTCACTGAGTAGCCAATATTAAGGACCTGAACGGTGCCGAAAGCATACTTACCTGGCGCAGAGGCTACCGTGATCAGGAAGGCGGTTCCTCCAGGGCGAGGCTCTTCCATTGCACTACGGTCGAGCTGACCCTTGCGAATACCCCTAAAGTGGGTATCTCGGGCGTATAATTTTTGGTAGTCGGGACTGCGTTCGCGCTGTCCCGGAATAAATCGATACAAACAGAACAATTGTTTTTCCTACAGCGTTCTGAATAGTGAGACTGGCTGTTTTTTGTCCCTGTGTGTAGGACACGTCAATGTTTCTCCCCATGGGGGAGATATTTAAATAAACAAATCAACTTTAGTGATGATTTTTTTTACGTAGTACTATTAGAAAATTATATATTAATTATATTGTATGTTATATACTATATTATTTATTAATAAATATTAATATATATTTAAAATGAGCTAAAAAAATTCCATTAATTAATTTTAATGTTATAAACTTTGCATGTGGCTCGTATTGATTATGTTTTATAAATTTATAACGTGCAAGAAGTCGATTACCTCGTTGATTACAAACCAATTCCAACTATTAAGAGTCTTAAAAAAATTGTGTTATACGTGCATAGAATTTATGTAGGTGTAGAAAAAAATCTACTTTTATAGTTATATCATATAAAACTAATTAAGATTGTGCAATTAGTGTGTAAGTCCTTTTTAATAAAAAGGCCGGGATCGCCGATTACGTGTCCGTTTCACCGTTCAATTTTATGAGTTTCGTGATGGTCTTGTCCACTCATTGAGCGAAAATTTACGCCCACGTACGTACGTGCAAATGCAAACGCGAAGCACGATGCCGTCAAAGTGTTACGTCACCGCTGCACACGTGCAGCGCGTGCCGGAGTGTACGCATGAGCAGGCGTAAAAGAGAGAAAGAGGAACTCGCTTTTAGAGCTTCATGACAGGAGCGGTCGATCGACATCTTTGACATTCCGCGGCGGAGTATACAATTGTGACTGTTCTTTTCAGTTTCTTTTTTTGTTGTTATAAATGTGATTGTTTTCGATTAGTGGCGATCGAGAATCGAACGACCCTAAATGCAGGTGAAGTTTAATCGTCGGATATATGCTGTAAAAAAATTATGTGGTATTGAAGAAACGCGCATTACTAGATCTCGATGTAATTCTGTACGAGTAGTTTGTGTCCTTTCTAATATAAAATGTAGAATAATATTATATGTTTCTGTAAATATATATATACATATATAATATATTTAGAGAAACACAGTTAATTATAACATAATTAAATAATATTTATACAGAAATATATTACAAAAATATATACTTGTAGAAAATTAATTACGCGTAAATAAATTTATTTATTTTCTATGATATGAAAATAAATAAAATAATAAAAAAAAAATTGGTTAAAATTGGTTAAATTGTATTAGCAATCTTTGAACGTTCGAAATAGTTAAGTCCCATTTATATATGTCGCTCTGTGATATATTGGATGTCTGAAGTACGTCCTGAGAATGTTATTTAGACGTCCTATACTAAAGTTATACGGATATGGATGTCCAAGGTATGTCGAATATGTCCAATTTTCAAGCAGTAAACGACTTCACTACTATAGAGGGATATAGCAAAGTTCAATTACTCGCATTTAAAAAAATTGACATCGAATAAGATAAAAGACAGTATGATGAGATTTCTCAGTAAAAAGTTCTTACCCTTTTTTTAATAGAATAATGATATAGTTGTGCCTTAAAGGTGAGATCCTATAATTGAGTTTTCAGATGAAAATTAATTAAGTTTTTTGAGTTCTTGGACATTATGCTGACGACGACTGTTCGGTGTTCTCTTTTTCCTAAAAATTTATGTATAAAAAAAAGAATATTTTCGAAATTCTCTCTGCCATTGGGGATTGGACATATTAACGATATTTATTAGACATTTTCAGGCGTACTATTGTACGTACGAAAGATGTCTACTCGATGTCTTATACTTGATACATCTATGTATGACGAAATTATAGTTACATACAGAAGGTGTATTGTGCGTAATTATAATAACCAGAAATTCTATTTTTGCTTATTTTTATTAAAATTTGTTTAACTAAATTAATATATCTTATTAATCATAATTGTTATATTTTTCTGTGTGGATATTTTTGTTAGACTTCTTTCAAAATACTACTATTGTATTTGAAGAAGACGAAAGAGAAACTTTTTCATCCGAAAGAATAAATATAATATCAGGATTGCTTAAAAGCGGTTAAATATAAATTCGCAGATATAACTTTATTTTAAGCCGCTTGTGTTATGCTTTCTATAGATAATTTGGGGGTACTATCCAGACACTTTAACGATAGCTAAGAAATCATGGCTGAGAGGAGCTTAAGTTATCATCGCCGTCATAAATAAAACGCGAATTAGAGTCTCCGTGACCTGTAAAATTTCAACAAGGTTACAAAAATATTCTGCAACACTTCCGACGCGCGCGCGTGTCTTTTATATTTATTCTGTATATCTGTTATGCCGCATTTAATCCTTGTCTGAATATTTCGCTTCGACAAGGAATATATTAAATGTATGTATTATTTTAATATTATTTAATTTACAATGATGAAATATATGTTTACATAAAACATTTATTTTTAGATAATAAATAATTTCAAATTACGACGTAAATCACGCGGTTACGTAAAGGATGTAAAAAATTTGTCGCGGCGTATTTGGATAGACTAATGGATTTCCACCGGATATCCGTGCATATTTTGATTGAAAGTTCTGGACGACTTGGAGATCAAATATAGATCGTGAGCGGGTGATTAGAGTGGACGGTAAATAAAGCACTAGAAGACAAGCGGTAAGAAATTGTACTGAGCGCGCGTTTTGGTACCGCGAGGTTGTATTCGCGGCTCATCGGGATGGCTCGTTCGCGATTTCCCGGCTCGCGCGAGAAAGTCACAAGAGCTGACAGCCTCGAGAGAAGAAGAAAACGGCCGCCGTCTGGCGCTGTACCGACGTAAAGAAACAAAACGGAGCGGAAGTGGAGGATGTCTATCTATAGCCCGACGTGATCGCGACGGTGATGCTCGTCGTCGTCGTCAGCGAGAGACGTGTCAGCAAAAATTACGAAGGCACATTATTGCAATAGGCTAGCAATTCTCAAATTATAGTTGCTGTCTTTGCAAGCCGATGTTCTTTCCAATGCATCATAGCTCGTTAAACGCAGAAAATCGTAACTGCGAAGGTCAAACGCAGGGATATAATTCCTCTGACGTAATCTACTCATCTAAATTTTATTATGCGAAACTCTGTACATTTCTTCGCAATTTAAGTGACTTGAATACATAATTAAAATGCCAACTACGATTATATTAATGAAACTCTAAGAAGTAGATCGGGCCACGTATTATGGAACTGTTCGCAACGTGTGCGGATTCATGGAAATTATTTCGTTTTCTCTAGAAGACAAAATCGATATTTATGGAATAATTAAGTAAACAATTTTGATCGAAATCCATTCCGAATAACTCCATAATACATGTTTTATTCAAGAATCGATTATGTGCGCTTAACAAATTAAAAATGTTATTTTTTAAATTCTAAGTATATATGTATATTCAGACACTGTAAGATTTCTATTTTATGACATCTTTTTTCATATCAACCTTTTCCCCTCTGTTTAATAAATTTTTTATTTTCTTTTTTTTTTTCATTTATTTATATGGAATTACGCTTCCTGGATATCTTCTGCTTGTATAAATTCACAACCTATTTTAGGATTCGGTACATTACGTTCTCGTTTCCGTTTTCTTTTTTGTTTTAGAGGGCTTATTCCCTGCCGGCACGGACGCACACCCCTACCTCGCAGAATCGTGCTAATTTACGTCGAAGTGTCAGAAACGAGCCGCCACCGCAACCGGCGCGCCTGGATAAGCACCGTCGCGGTTGGACGTTACACCTGGCTCGTCCCCTAAAGACATCCGGATGCTCAAGTCCGCTTATACCCCTGCTGATCGTCGTGCTGATCCTGCTGGGGGTCGCAGGGGTCGCACTGTACATCGTCTTCGGTAAATAAATCTTTATTTTATTTACTCTTGGTGTTATTTTATTTTCTTAATTGTTTGTCAAGAGTGGGAAATCCGATGTTTTTGAACAGATCTCATGATATATATTCTACTTTCGCGACTGTTTTTTATTTTACAATTTAGATTTCGTTAAATGTGAAAGTAATGAAGATCTGTTGTTCCTTTTTACATAATTTTCTAAAACGTCAACACGTAAATATTCTTCTGATTATATTATAATATCTATTTATTAAATAAGAATTATTTAATTTCAGATTATTGAAACATAAATTTATTAAAGATTTTTAGAATATTAAATTAAAATAGAATATTTTAGCCGAAGTTTAAAAAATGTCTAAATAGTAATACGTATGTTCGTAAAATCAGAACACAAGACATTTTTTAAGACATCTATGTTTCGATTTGTGTGCTGTCTGTGCATTAAACTTTGGGCCAAAGTTATCTCATTTTACGGTAGTTTGTTCACAAGACGGTCCTTACTTGCTTCGTTATTAATTTATTTTTAAAACTCTATCAAGTGAGAAATGAAACGTATACTGAAATTGCATACGCGTTATGTGTTTTATTGTTTATAAAGTATTTAATAGCTCGATGAAGATTTGATGAAGGTTAGAAATAGTGCGCTGGATAGATATGCGCGTTTGTCAGAATATAAAATATTATTCAGCCCAGGGTTAATCGTTCGATCAGAATGCTTATTGATTTATCATAGAAGCTTAATTCATCTCGCACTCATACTTGACTGTATATTGAATCGTTTCCATATCGTTAAAGTATATACAAGATGCTTCAGCTCTGCAATATCTTCTTAGAAATGTTTTATAATGTATATGCCCTCCCCCAATGAAATTTCATTACCTCTTTCTCCAATTTTTGTCTAGTTTTTATGATATTACAATAGTTTTACTTTAAATATTGTTATCAATACATACTATTTTTTGTAGTTAAAATGATATTAATGACACTACACAGAGTTCCTTGATAGTTTACGATAATATAAGCTTAATAACAAATTTGCAAGTCTTTATTCGAAGGTACTGTTCTGTGCGAAGGTTTGCGTGCCGGGACATCATATATTAGCCGGGAATAAACGATACACTCGCCATCGTAGGCGCCGTCGCCTTATCGTTCGGGCAATTAAAAGTATCTGCATCCCGCCAGCTGACGGCCGAGGTTTAATTCGACGCAAAGCGTGGCAATTGCTTCAACGAGATGAATTTAACCGCGGGGTCAACAGAACGTTTCCTCCGACCGTATCTGCGTGCACGGTCGATCGCGCTGAAGCGCGACCGCGAGTACTATGCGCGATGAAAAGTGGCAAGAGCCAACGACCGTGTATTTCGCGAACGTTCGGTATGTCTGGAATCCCGGAGGCTCGGGAGAAAGTTTCTCAGGCTATTCCTTCAACCCCTAACGGCACAATTAAGATGAAGGACAGAGAAGCTTTCATTCTCTTTTTCCATTTCCCACCTTCAACTTTTCGTTTTCCAAAAAATAAGTGAAAAAATCGAGGAGACTCTGTTTTATATTCGTGAATTTCTTTTTTGTGTTTTATTTCTCTCTTTTGTGTAATAATAAATGGGTTTTACTAAGTCAGTTCTTGTATAGTAAAAAAGAAAAATTAAAAAGTTGTAAAAGGAACAAAGAAAAACGTACATAATTTTGCTTTCCTCAATTTGCTTTCCTTGTATGTCAAAAATCCACAAATACTTTTTTAACGAAAATTCAATCAAGCTTTGTTTCCTCCTAAAAACAAACTTTTAAAAACAATACAATGGCTCAAATAATTGGAAAAAAAAAACACGGTATGATATGTACCTACTTTTGTGTGATTTTTGAAGGCTCTTTCCAAGTTGCAGCACGATTGTTTATTCTTTTGATAGTTCCATTTTTTGATGTCTTAACCGCGTTTTCGATATATTATTCATCTGCATTCCGTTGTTGCTTAAATGCGTAACAAGCTTTCTTAGATGCGATGATTGATCGCATCATGCCTCCTTCTTTTTTTCAGAGCCCGAGAAGCTCCAAATTATTCAGCAGTACCTGAAGTCGTCGACGAGTAGGTTGACGGGGCAAAACGTGACTTCCGATGAGCTGATCACGCCCGCGAACGACGAGTCAAATTTGACTACTGTGACGAACGATACGATGACGTTAACATCGACGATGAACATAGAAGAAACGTTTGCCGAGGGTATGTTTGCCATGAACGCCCCTATAAGCGGCAATCTGTCATTTCCGGGAAGCACTTCGCAGTCAAGCGAAGGCGTGGAAACGGAAGCTGCGAGTCAGAACGTTATTAATGCGACGAGATACTGCGATGATTGCTTCGAGGGCGAGGTGTGCGTTGCCACCTTCGGCGAAGCAGTGCCGATATGTAGGAGAGCCTATGATCGCGACGATCCCACCGGATGCGGTGGTCTTTGCGCCTTCGGTAGGCAGAAATGTCATCGTCTCGACGTGGACGCATTCAGGTTTGTCGCTGTTTTTTTTTTTATTGATAGCGTCGGGAGTCACTCTATTATTAGTAGATAACAACTAGTCTTTTTTAAGCGTCAATCACTGACGAGTAACTCAAAAAAAGGGAGACATTAACTATCATTACTATATCTGATATCAATATTATATTAGGGGAAAATTACCGATACTGACATACCATTTTATTTTTAGACAATATTTCTTAGACTAAGAGTAAAAATACAATTTCAAAAACATAAGCTTAAACTAAAAAGTGTCTTCTATCAGATAGTACAAGCAGTTTTTATAATACTCTTTCCAATTTTATAATAATTAAGTTTTCCGTAAGGTAAGCAAAAATGAGGGTTTGACAAAATGGGTTCCAAAACTGATATAGTAGACAGTAATGCCTATATTTCTATAGGATAAAGATATATCCTATTCTATAAAGAAAACTAATTTATGAAACTATAAGCATTTAAAATGACATAATATTATCAATAATACAGTCACTATTATTTAAATCACACAAAAGAATATCGTAAAAATTTTTTTCTCGGATTTGTAGAATTCGTTTTTAGCTGATTCGGTATAAAAATAAGCCACAAACATATAAATCATAAGTTCGTATTTCTTTAATTAACTAAATAAATCATGTTTTTATTAGTATTAATAAGATGCAAAGATTAGTTTCTGAGAAACAAGGGGTGTCACTTTAGAAGATTTATGTCAGTATCGGTGACTTTCCCCTAATAATATAAATATCATCTTTTTTTAATTTTATAATTGTTATAACTATTTAATATATATATATATAATAATTTTGTAAAATACAATATGTATATTATTTTTATTATTATTACTTTCTGAAATATGTTTTTATACAAGATATTTTATACACGAGTTATAAGAATAGCTACGTAAATGATAAATATGATCTAAGATATATTTACGCATTTGTAAAATGTTCGTATAGAAACTACGATAAATCTTCATTTTCATTATTTTCATCTTCTTAGAGACATAGAGATTCGATTTAATTAAAATTTCCTTCATTCAATTTAATTTATAATCAATCTGTCATCTACTTTAACGATTTTTTATTTTTATTAAAGATGCGAAAAGGTTGAACGTTTTTTCTGTCTGGATGACGAATGGACTTGCTCCAATGTGATGTGCATCCCCTTGGATAAGCGTTGCGATGGACATATGAATTGCTACGATCATTCGGACGAGTATGATTGCGGTAGATATAAATTAAAAATTATAGTTGAAACGATCTACGTATTTGTTTCTCTTTAGTATAAGAGAGATTTGAAACTACGGGATTTTATATTTTATTACAAATGAGTTTTGAATGTTTTTGAGGTTTTCACATATTATTGGTACTTTCTACAATTTCTATTCAGAAGCATTTCGTGGATTATCCTCTTGATGTGAGTGGCAATATTCGCAAAACTTTAGCGTTTAATAGAGAATCTGAACTCGGAGATAATCCATGGGTTTTGAGATTATTTTATTTTATTTAGCTTTTTCCCAAATGATAAGATTCTAAAACAAATCTGGGATCTTTTTAATGAAAATGATGGATTTTATAGTAAGAAACATCAATTAAAAGTGTTTGGGTTATTAGAACTAATTCGTAATCGTGATAATTATAAAAGAAAGTGGAGAATTATACGTTTTAAGTATTTTATAATTACATAAAAACATAATTATCAATCAATGGCATAATATTAGATATAAATGTGAATATTGCTCGTTCGTGATCTTGAATATTGTAAACCGGTCGTGTCCATTCACATGCGATTTGTCTCTTGTTCAAATATACTGCATTGCCCTAGTTTGTAGTGACCTATAACTTTCTATTATCGGCTTTCCTCTTCTTTACTATTATTTGCGAGGCTTCGGTTTGTCTGTTTTCACTTCTGTATCGCTCCAATCATATTTTTTGTTAAAGCTAAAGCACAATTCCGAATTAAAATCATTCGATATTGATTGATGGAATTTAATAAAAAGTGATATATATCTACATATATTTATGTATGCATATATATATAAATTATGAATGCCATCGAGCTAACAATAGGATACGCAAGCTGTAATGAAATACAAACATACAAAATTATTTTCTGAGTTAAAGAGATTTTATACAGCTTTGATGTATAGAATGTATATTCGCAGAACTATGAGTATGCAAGATTATTTTTAAAAGCGATATAAATAAACTATTAGCATGAACAAGAAATGTACGATAAGATGATAATATTCATATTACTGTAAAAATTAGCTTTCATACTATCGTTAATTCTTATTATTATTTAATGTTTGTTTTCACGATTGAGACGGGTTATACTTTTGTAATAAATTATATTTATAATTTATTACAAAGAATCCAACAATTTACTTATTTGATTTCATATCGAGAACAGCTTTGATATTTAATATGAGTACGGAGGTATGCAAATATAAACTACGCAAGTAGAAAATACAAGCAGAATGTTATCATAGATAGTACTACACGTTCTTTTTCAGTCTGCAATCTGGAGACGCATTTTCAGTGTGGTAATAAGACTTCCTGCCTTCCGTTGGAGAGGAGATGCGACAGAAAGATAGATTGCTGGGACGCAACTGACGAGATTAATTGCACGTTAGGTGAGCATTCCAGCGTTTTATCGCGATAATAATAGTCGTAATGTACAAACGAAATGTATGTACAAAAATGTTACGCTATATTTTATATGGTAAAAGATTTTCTTAGATTATAGGGACGCAAATTTTGATCAAAATCTAAAATTTAAAAAATCCGCCAAGTGATATGGTTTCTTTTTTAAATTTTATTGCAGCGAAGTGAGGGTAGATGCCATGACAAAAGTATTACCAATCTTTTTAAAAATATTATTTGTAATAAGGTTTACTTTTATATTTTCTTGATCACCTTTCAAATACTCTTCAGACATATTCCCAAGACATTTAACGTCTTTATGAAATATATAGATAAAAAAGAAGATAGGATATTTTCTATAAAATTACAAACAGAAAAGTTATTCATAGTTTCCCTTTTACATCACTTGAAGATCCTTTTCATACCTTTTTTCTTTGTTTCCTTTGTAGGTCATGATCTTGGTTGGTGTGAGTACATATTTATATTTGAAATGCATGTATATTTTGTATAATTTCTGCACGCCGAATCCTTAATAATGCACGATTTCATTAATAGAACGGTGAAATTGTTTATACGATTTCTTGCATAATATTAACATTCGATATACCCACAAACTAACCCATTTATTAAAAGAATGTATTTACATATTTTTGTTACATACACATATGGGACTCGAATATTCTAGAAAAAAAAAAAAGATAAAAACGATAGTTTCTAAATAAATAAATGATAAAAAAAAGATAGTTTCCTATATAAATATGCAAATAATTAGGTATACAAATTTATGATTTGTTTGTTAAATATTCAAGGCAGTTGATTTTCTAAAAGAGTAACTTAAAGATAATTCTAGCAAAATCGGAATTAAAAATAATTAAAAATCTCTTTTTAAGTTATTGAATACTTAAGCAAACACAAATTACCGAAAAAATAACTAGTTTAAGTAATAATTTTTATTTTCGATTTAGTTTGCTCAGAAAAAGACGAATTTACTTGTATCAATGGGGAATGTATACAAAAAGATCGTTTTTGCGATGGGCTGGCGGACTGTAACGATGGAACAGACGAACCTCATGGATGCCAAGGGCGATGCAATAAACAGGAATTTACATGCCAGTAAGTCAATATTTAAAAATTTCCGTATATAAAAGAGAGAGAGAGAGAGAAGCAATAATTTAAAAAATATATTCTCTTAATAAAATATCTTAGAATAGATATCTTTTTTCTTTTTATGAAATTAAATTTTTCGTTTTAAATTCACATTCTTTTCTATTGTTAACGTGTCTAGTTGATTTTTCCTTTACAGGTCTAACTTCATTTATAGATTATTAAATAATAAATCTTTTAATTTTTTTTATGAAATAATTGTAACTGTACTATTAAATGTATCGAATATTTTAATTTTTGATATTTTTAAATATATTTCGATCTTTATTGAAAGGAACATTTATTGAATTTTTGAATTCAGCACATTGCATATTTTTACATCTTGGAAAAAATAAGAATACTTTTACAAAGAGAATAGAAAAGAAATTTTTATTTAATATGTTATTTTATCCACATAAAATTTTTCTATTATACAGAAATAATAGATGTATTACGAAAGGAATGAAGTGCAATGGATTTGACGATTGTGGAGATGGCTCGGATGAGATACACTGCAAAGATCGGTTTAGTGTTTATACATGAAGGAAAACATTGCCAATCAGAGAGATCAAATACAGTATTTTATACAAATAAATGTACGTAATGTATATAGCGTGTTGTATAGAGACAGAAAATATATATATATATTAAATCACTTTATTTATTGAATCTAGAGTGCTATGCATATATGTATATCCTTTCGCACTTTGCTCCTTTATCTCATAATTGTAAAGTAATAATACATTGGCAAGTTGTGATCCTTTTATTGTGTTACTATTAAGCATACGTATGAATAGAGTAGAATAGAATAGAATTTTTTTATTTACTTTAGTGTACATGTCAAGGAGGGGACTTGGTTTACAATTTTCTTACTACACTCATCCATTAAGATATATGTATATTATAAAAGAGCACTATGAATGTTATGTAAATCAATTTTTTTCATAAAAAGAAAAATCAATTTTATGCGGAATATATTGTTATCAACAATGATTTAATGTAACACACATTTTGTTATCTAAATCTACTTATTTAAAAACACTACAAAATTCAAGTAATACATAAAGTATATAATGTATTTTATATTAAGATACGCTACACATAATTTGTAATTTATATGAGATAAACGAAATTTGTTGGTCGGCAGAAAGGATTCTTATTACTATTTGCGATTCATGGTTTGCTTGTCTATACAGATACACCGTTGTCCAGTTACACTATTGTAACTCTGACGGGAATCGATCAATTTATGTTTCTTAATTATCTCGAGAAACCGTTTCACTGACAAATATTGAGATTGAATGACGACTTATGAATGAAAATTTGCCAAGGCCCAATTATAACTTAAGATTTTCATATCGTATATACACAAATATTGTCACGAATTATGAATGATATATAGTTTGATTTGGATGTTTTACTCTTTCACTCAATTTGATTAATGTTTCGAATTTTATTCTTTTGTATATAAACTATGTGTGTAACACATTTTCTTCCCTCAAAAGCCTCTTTTTTAATAAAATATTGAATATTCATACATGTTTACTACAACTAATTTTATTTTAGAAATTAATAATTGTAGATATATATATGTACACAGGTATGCAATGTGTACACACTAGTGAATGACTTACATTACAGAAAAAAAAAAATTGCTGTTTCAAGTGATTCTAAGCAGCATCTATATATTTTATATCGATCAGTATATCTCTTTTAATCATCCTACAGGAATTCGTCTGGTTCCCGCGGAGCATCGAGATCTCGATAATGTATGACTGGTCGAAAATCACCACTGCAATATTAAATATTAGAAAAGTGATAAATAAAAATCGATATTATTGCATATATACATATATATACAAAACAACTAACATACAAGATAAATAATATAACAATAAAATATATAAATAAAACAATTATTAAAAGTATATGTAAATTTATTGTTGATTCTATTATATGTATAATGTATATGTGTATTTATATGTTTGGAAGATGTGTGTACATTAAAATTAAAATTTTCCTCTCATACACAATAGCTATACAATAAAGTCGGTTAAAAGACTGCACATATGCAATATTAAAAATAATAATTAAAAATTCGTTTTTTTTGTTCATGTTACACGTAATATTATATAATGGCTACTGACATATAACGTCAGGATTTTCCATGACATACGACCAACCGGACATAAGGTTTAAACGGAAATGGGACAAAATAAAATAACAAGTCGTTAGAGTAACACACAGATGGGTTTATTTGTTATTCATATTATAAATTTTTGCAGCATCAATAGATCCTTGCATTCATTTTAGCTCGGACTGTACGTTTGTATAAAAGTTACATATAGGATGATTTTTTTATCACATGTTAATATTTCAAGAGATTATAGAGTTTAAAAATATCATAGGTAATAGGCTTTATTTATTTAGTTATAAGTAAAAAAAATGCACCGGAGATGCGTCTGTTTTCTATAATAAATAAAGCTCAAATAGGTTTTAATCATATTTTTTTTATATTTTGGTTTTATATTTATTTTTAAAAATGTATATTTAATTAAAAAAACGCGTGCGCGCGCTCTCTATTAATCAGTGTGTATATATTGAATATACACACATGCACATGTAGATTTCTTTTTCCATTTGTTTTTAAGTATATAATATTGGATCTTGATGCGCATTAGATAAATTTCATTTATATTATAAATAACATTTAAAAAATTGTGCTAATTTTGTAGTAATTTTTCGGTTGCATTAGTTTTGTCATTTCATTTTTTTAATGGTGTGTTAAGCTCGATCTACAATTGCGTAAACGTAGTTGTAAGTGGTTGTAATTATAAGAATTGACCAATGACAGTCAAACATTCTCCTCGTATTCAACTGTGATTAGTCAATTCTTACAACTACAACTACGTTTACGCAATTGTAGATTGGGCTTTACGTGATCGAGTACATAGCATAGAGAATCTATAATGGTATTAGCATTTTTATAATTGCTTAATCTCATGATGAACTGAAATTATTCGCGAGATTTTGACAAAACTTAAAACAAGTCCATGTCCGGCTGGTCCAAGTCATTATAATTAACAATAGGTCTTGATGTAGTATCCGGAGCAGCCCTGTAAAACATTGTATCACCATGTTCAATGTATTAACTCGAATGGGCCAAGATTAGGCTATCGATGTCTTCAATCTTATCTCAACTCAATATAATTTGTATCAAAGAAAATTAAATGTTGTGTAGTCTCTTTATAAATTCTTCAACCATGCGATTATCTCAAAGTACTTCTCTGCAGATTTTATTAATCGCATTGAAACATAAAAAAGGTATTGTCTTACCGCCCTCGATTAAATCCGCCACGATTAGATCGTGGAGCACTAAATCCAAATCCACCACCATAACCAGAACCATAATTGCTTCTGTTACTGCCAAATCCACTACTGTAAGTTCCGAATCTAGAAATATTTGTGGATGTTTGCGTTGAGTACCTTAATGACATTATTTCATGTTATTTCAATGTTATCGTTGATAGTATTTCACAAAAGTGGATCAAATCGCATTTTTATACTATATATACTATATACACTATTCACACATTCACGCACGCACGCACACGATATATATATCGTGATAACAATAGCATTTATTTCTCAAGTGTTTTTAATTACCAGTAATTCTTGTACTTACGAACTGCAACCATATGGCGCAAAATTGTCCCGTGTTCCTTCTCTTAACGGACCCTTGTTGCCAGGATGCTCAGGAAGCTGAGGCCTTTTTGGGTCTTTTAAATAATTGTTAAAGTACTCAGCTTCCGCTTTCACTTCAGCAACCTTCTCAGAATGCTTGTTGAAGATATGTTTACGGATAAAATCAGGTCCTTTAAATTTTTTCCCGCTAAGAGGGCATAACCATTTGTCTTTCGATAATTCTTGGGTATTGGCTTGAACAAATTTTTCGACTTCGCTATTTACATATATTAAGAAAATATTATTTAAATAACGATGAAAAGTATAAATCTGAAAAAATGACGATTAAGTTAAATCAGTGTCAAAGATGTGTAATTTTGGTTACTGGCGTGTTAGCGTTTATTCCTATTGCCTTTCTTTTTCTTGAGATAAAAAGAAGAAAATAATATTGTATATGCATCAATACCGATATACGTCAATACCAAAAATTTTGGACAACTGTGGTTCATCAATTTTTCAGAGATTCATGCTTTCTATATTGTACAATATTATATTTAAACATAATAATAATAATAATAATAATAATAATAATAATAATAATAATAATTAATAATACACAGAAGAAAAGGATACGCTTCAGCATTTTTTGCGCCTAGTTTATCGAAATCTTCGTTAGATAAAGTAGCAACTGGTTGTAGAAAAGCAGACATTTTGTTTTCAAAGTTGCGACAATATTCCGATAATTCTGCACTTGAGACCTTGGCAGTGGGTGGACATCCTCTCACATGCATTATTCCGCATCTATTTGGCATCTCGTCCTCGTTTGGATACTCGCAGTGATTGTAATAATCAACGGAATGAACAATCCGTAAGTACAACACTAATCTGTCTAATACCTGTGAGAATGAACATATTATATTTTATTAATGAATATAAAATATAATATATTACGTACTTTTTTTTCATTAAATTATTATCTATGATTTGATCTTCCACCATATTATTTAAGTTTATAATTTACCTCAATTAGAACTGGATCTCTCTCGATTGAACTATCTCCATCGCCGCCTAACTGACCTTCCTCTTGTTCACCTGACATACCTAGTAATTCTTCTTCTTCAGCTGAAGCTTCTTCTATCAAGTAGTCTGTTATGTTTTTCAATACTGGATTTTTAGATGACAATCCGAAAGCCTAAAATACCATGTAAAATTTTATATAATTGACACATTTCGTTTCTATCGATAACATATATAAATGCAATTTTACTTACAGCTTGTTCAACTTCGTTGCTACTTTGAGTGGTTGTATTTTCTTTGTTTTCTTCCTGTTTTATTGTATTGTCATCTTTTTTTTCTTCCCTCCATAATCCCACTTTATTATCCAAATTGTGAACAATTTTGGCACTAAGTTTAATATCATGTCTGACTATTTGCTTGTGAGATGTTAAACCATTGACTGATCGAATACGTCGTGATAAATCTCTGTTTACTATTGCACCAAGCTCACAATCACGTAGCTATGTAAGAGATATAGCAATTAAAAGTATCTGTTTCTTTTTTTTTTTTAAATGAATGCAGATACGAGTAAACTTACTCGAATGTTGTTTAAACTCCAGCAGATTTCTTTGATGTTCACTTGACGCTCGAACGAAACCCAGCCACGACGGAACCATCGTCTTTCCGGCTGTGGATCTGCTATAGCCACACGTAAGAATCCAGGAAATCGCTTGCACATCTATTCAATAAACAAATTATATAATTGTATTACATTATAGATGTCGGTATTTATTATTGATGCAAAAAGACAGATCAAAATAAAGATGTAAATTATTTAAATATTAACAAAAGCTTTTACAGGATTTATTAATTAAGAATATTTCAACTAACAGCTTCGACTTCTGCCTTGGTAATGGTCGGCGCCAAGTTACGAAGAAAGATGCTACTGGTTTTGTGCAAAGCTCTAGGCTCTTTCTCTTTATCTTCACT